TGTAAATAGGAGATGTTTAACAAAATAAATAAAAATACAATAAAACATAGATAATGTTAATTCATGGTTTTCTAAGTAACTATGCAGCTGGGACCCATTTCTGTAAGTTTGACACTACTGCTATAAATATAGTTTACCTAGATTTTGCCAAAGCTTTTCATAAATTATGCCATATTATTCTTGTGGAGAAGATGAAGAGATGTGGGCCAAATGATAATACATTGAGAACATTGAGAACAATTCAAAATTGGTTAGATGGCCTAGTCTTTAGTGGTTCAATGTTCACATGACAAGTCTCCAATGCGGTAAAGCAGGAATCTGGGTTTTTTAATTCTTTTATCAATTATTTGAATAAAGGCGTAAACGGAACGTTCATCAAATTTGCAGATAACAAATAGCTGAGACAAATAGGTAATCCAATGGATGACAGAGTATAGTATCCAAAAGGATCTTGACAAACTAGAGCACTGGGCTTAATCTAATTACATGAAATTCAACAGGGAAACAAATAAAGACCTATATAGGTACCAAAAAAAAATCAACTTCAAAATATAAGATGAAGGAAGAGACACATTTGGACAAACAGCAATTTGCCCAAAAGGGTCTAGGTGTTTTAGTGGATTGCAAGCTCAAAATAAGCCAGCAATGTGATGGAGCAGATAAAAAAGGTTGAGCTGATCTTGGGCTGCACTAAGAGAGGTATAGTTTTCATGAATAAAGTAGGTAATAGTCCCTCTATATTCTGCCCTCATCAGAACTCATCTATAGTATTATGTTCAATTCTGGACACCTTAATTAAGCAGAACAATGATAAAACGAAGAGTGTCTAGAGGAAGGCAAACAGGATGGTGAAGGACTCTGAGTGTATTGTTGTATGAAAATTAGTTGAAAAAAAAAATAGAAGAATTGGTTTAAGAAACTGGAGCTATTTAGCCAGGAGAAAAAAATCCTCAGGGGAACTGTAACTCTGTTCAAGAATTTAAAGGACCATCACATGGAAGAGGAAGTACACTTGTTCTGTTTGGCCCTAAGGGGCAGGATCAGGAACAACATGTAGAACTGAAAATAGGCAAACTTAGGTCTGACATAAGAAAAAACTTCCTAACAAAAGAGAGGTCCAAAAATGAAATAGGCTGCCTCAAGAGATAATAGATTCCCACTTCTTGAAAGTCTTCAAGCAGAGACCGGATGACCACGTGTAGAGTAAGTATAGATTGTTGCAACTTCCAACTCTCAAATTCTCCGGTTCTGAGCTCCTGTACCTTTCAGGTTCAATGGAAGACTATGGGGAAAGGACTCCGAAAACAGCAGCGGAGTTCCTGGACTAAGCAGGAGTTAAAGCTAAAGAGCAGCAAGGGACAAAAGAACCACACACCTGAAGAAAAAATCTAGCCCTTGTACTTCACTGATACTGTGATTTATGTGGACTCTGCTGGTCAACAGAAAGGGTCAACTCTCTAGCAACTATGAGTGCTTTCCCCTGGGATGGGGGCAGTTGGCAGAACAGTGGTACACGATTATTATGAAGTATTTACAGATCTCTGTGAGATACGTGCTTAACTCTCTAAACACCCTAAATACTTTTAAAAATCTTTACATCATCCTCTAATCCTCATGCTTTCTCATCCCACATACCCAATCGGTTGCCAAATCTCATCATTTCTATGTCTACAATATCTCTCACAAATTATCTCTCTATTCACAGGCATTCAGGCTTAATAATCTCTCACCTATGTTAATGCAATGGCCTATCTGGTTTCCTTGCCAAGTCTCTCCCCACTCTAAACCATGCTCCGCACAATTGTCAAAGTGATTTCCTAAAATACAGGTTCTGTCCCTATTACTTCACTATTCAGTAAATGTTAGTGGCTCCCTATTAACTCTGGGACCAAATATAAACTCCTCTATTTGACAATTAAAGCCTACCTTTCCAGTCTTCTCGATCATTGCTCCCCCCAACACACTCCACAGTCCAGCCCTACTGACCTAAAGCTGCTCTCACAGATACCTTTGCACAGGCTGTACCTCACGCTGGGAGGCACTCTTTCCTCACTCCAGTCAAGGTTTCCTTCAAGACTTAACTTAAATACTGTACCACTTTATACAAGAAGGCTTTCCTAATTCCTCCTTACCCCATCCCACCCCCCCAGCTGCCAGTTGACTTCTTTACAAAACTATCTCGTATTTATTTTTAACACATACATGCAGCTTTCCATGTTGTCTGTTAAAATGTATTTCCCTTGAGGGCAAGGGCTATTTCACTTTTATCTTTGTATACACGACACTTAGCACATCGCCAAACAGAGTAGATATTTAGTAAAAATTGCCTATTTTTGACTGATTTTCTGTTGCTAGTCTGGGCAATGGGAGCCAGGGGAGATCTGACAAGTCTTCTAGACTTATAGAGTCCTGAGAGGTGGGCTCTTTAGACTAGAAAGGAAAATCTTGACTGTTTCGGTGTTCAGCTGTGAGGACTCTTCATTTTCTACCGGCTGAAATAAAGTCTGTCCTGGGTTGAATATCTTGTTAGTCCAAGTGCTTGCTGAGAACATGACCCTCATTTTTTTTGTTGAGGATAATGGGACACGAGTCAAATTCTGATGTTCCCAGGGGAAATCTTGGGTGAGCGCACAAACAAAAAACCATAGTTACTGACCCACTCCTAAGGTTGCACTCCATCCACCTAAATCAAGGCCTGAATAAGTTATAAGTACTTTTAATAATTACAAATATCTATAATTTCAACAGTGTGAGTATTCTGACTACTAGTAAAAATTACATATTGCAATACTGCCAGTTTCATAAGTTGCTGTGATTAATTTACAATAATAAGTTCTATGAAGTTATCTATGCTGGTCCTGAAATGATAGTCACCAAGCCCTTACACAAATCTTTTTAGTTTGGTAGGATCTGCAAGAGTCTGTGGTCTACTAGCAAAGAAATTCAGGATCACTTCCAATATATTACCATCATAAAACTTTTGTGGATGATGAAGAAGTTAGAAAGTTTAATAAAGTGCTAAAGAATCAGTTACATTAATTCAAACTTTTTCAAATAATTTAAAATTTTTCTTTATAAAATTATAGTATGTTTTCAATAAATACCAAAAATTATCTCCCTCTTTTTTTAATGTCATTAATTAGGAGCCATAAATTTACAGAATGTACAAATGTTAGCCTAAAAATCACATAAGAATCTTTTCTGCTGATTTCTAACTTAACTTGAGAGCTTACCTCTATCAACTTTTTAGCTCCTTTTGAAGCATACATAATCCAGCTGTGTACTAGACAACGCTGTCTCCGTGTAGCTGGCTTTCATAAATATTAAATTTTTATAATCATTACTGGGAAATATTTGTTGAAATTTGAGAATGCTTAAGAACTCCTTTTCTTCAAAAATATGTACACATAGGCAGTAACATATTTTCCAAGTCCCCACAATGACTCGTTTATGATTTATTAGTGCACCAATAAAACAATTGTGAATTTTTTTCAAGAGCTATAATAATTATTTCTCAAAGTAGTAAGTAGGATATGACAACATGCTTTTTAAAAAAGTTCTATTGTACATAATATTTTAAAATATTTAAGTATAATTAATTCTCTAAAAAAGGCAACCTCTTATTTGTTGTCAAAGGAGATAATACACAGGCAGCATTTTCTCGTGGGGAAAGGATCTTAATGGTAACTTGGAGAAATAAATCTTAAAATTCCAAATTATAAAATCTTACTAAAGTGCTTCCTTGGATATTTTTTGGACGGTACATTGCAATCTTGTTTCCTTCCTCCAAGGTATGTGTAAAGGTCTTACCCTCCCAGGCTTTTAAAGTACATAGCTTTGAAACATCAATTTGGTTTAGGTTACATGAATAGTCATACTAGATACATTTTTCCATTCAAAGTTATAGAATTGAACCCAACACATGGCATAAATTCTTTTAGATATAACCTCCTTTCCTTCCTCTTTAAGAAAGTTTTCAAAGAACGAAACATTACTTAAGACTAAAATCAGCTGCAGCTGGGTGGCCAAAAAAATTGCCCTGAAGCCACAACAATTAAGATGGATTAAAATCTAACACAAGGTCAAGCTAAAACCATGAAAGATTTCAGTGAAGCTCTCCAGCAGCAGTGTGGGTTCTGGCAAGGAATTTTGCTGGTGGCAGAGACTTGGACATGAACCATCACTGGTGAATTCCCGCAGACTCCCCTTAATTCTGCTCTAATCCACCTTCTTTTTCGGGGGAGGAAGAACTATTTTTTTTTTCCTGGTGCCCTGCAATAATATGAGGGGACTACAGAGTTCCAATTTCATCTCTCATCAGTCTTTGTACGCCCGGGAAGCATGCACTCAATAAGCATTTGTTTTAATAGAATTCTGCTGCCAGGGCAATACTTAGGTTCAAGTCCTCAAGTCCTTAGGGTTTTCACAAGACAATTAAAGCATGGTACTTAACTGGTATTTACACTGTCTTGCATATGGCATAGGCTTAATAAATGTTTAATAGAATTGTTGCTCTCTGAAGGAACATTTTTTTCTCAACAGCCTAGAGATACGTCAGCCACGTTTTTCACTGTGATAGGACGGAACCACAGTTGTAAGGTAAAGGGATTGTAAAAGGAAAAAAATATGGATCACTTTGCATAAGTCTCTGGCACAGAAGAGAAATGCAATCAACGCTCCACCTTCACACCCCTACTTCCCAATGAGCCAGCGGGGTCCAATGAGCAAGCGGAGAGCCCGCCCTCCCCCTCCAGCCCCGCCTCCTGCAGGTTGGCCCCGCCCCCAGCGCGAGCCTCCTCTCCTCTCTCCCTCCCCAGCCCCACTCTCTCCCAAGGCCCAGTAGCTGGGGGTGGAAAGGGGGGGTGGCGTGAAGTCTGGAGCGTGACCTCTCTCCTTCTCCCCCCACAAAGGTCAGCGGTGGATGCGGAGGAGGTGGGAGGTGTGGGAACGTAGAATGTCACTTCTTTAGTCCAGCTTTTTCCTCCCCTCTCCTTGCTTACCGGGTGGTCGTCTCCGGGGAGGCTCCAACTGTTTGGGGGAAGGGAACGAAGGAAGCCGACACCTGGAGCCTTCTCCGTAATTTTAGAACTTTCCCGCCGCGCCGACGCGCGCGTTCTCATGCCCTCGCGGGGGATTGTGGGCGTTTCGTGCAGAGTCGGGCCGCGTGCGCGCGCTTGGCGCATGCGCCCGGACGGCGGCGGAGGCAAAATGATCGAACTCGGCTGTCTCCTGCTGGGCTTCCCCAAGAGGCTGCGGAGGAGGGAGGGGGACGACCCACGTCCGGGTTTCGTGATGCGGGGTGGGGGGCCAGCAAGCTGGAGCCCCGCGATCACTAACGGTACCGGGAAAGAATGGGACACAGGATTTTTCCTGCTTCAGTTTACCTCGGGAGACTGCTGAAAAGCAGGGTGCAGCCAGACTCACCAACCACTACCCCTCCACACTTGTTCAAACTTGTAACTGGGAATGGAGCAAGCTTGGGGGTCCGTGTTAGGGTGCAAGGAATAAATGAAATGAGCAGGGGAAAGAAAGGGAAGAACCATTAGATTGCGAGGGTACCTTATTTGTTCCACCTTTGGAGCAGGATTTTCAAAATATAACCAAAATAAGGGGGATGTGGTGAAAGTTCATTCCTTCAAAATCATGGGGACGCTTTAAAAGGAAAGAAAATAATTAAGGAGACCCCCCCACCCCACCCCCAGAATATGATTTTCTGGATATGGCCAAACCAGCCCCAGATCTTTATTTGTTTAGGGATTTGTGCCCTCAAATCGGTTCCATGTAGTGCTGGATTCAAGTTCAAATTAGTTCAATGCTCTATTTAAACCATTTAAATAAATGAAAAGCAGCATTTCTATAAATTTACGGGTTTGTCAATGGCATTGACTCACCCTCCTTGTTATACTCTTGTTTCTTCGTGGTTTCTAAAGGGTTGCTTTGTGGTGGTGATGTTTTTAGATACATGAAGTATAAAAAGATTCCAGAAAAACTATAAAGATGCCATATTTTGGTGTGAAAGAGAGCTTAGGTTATTTGAAACTGACAGACTCTGTTACTTTATATCATGCTAGAATGGATTCAGTGTGACATTATGTATATTTTCAGAAAAATCACCCCTTAAGCAGAGAGGTTCATCAAGAAGAAACTTTATAAAATGGGCTTCAGCTCTCTGCAGCCCCCTTTTGCTTTTGCAGATTTCCATGGATCCTAGATCTTACATAGATTTCATCATTGATAAGTGCTTAGCTTATACCTGTTATTAGTATTTACTATTACTTTGTGAAGCAATAATAATAGCATTTATATAATGCTTTAAGGTTTGTAAAATATTTTTTACAAGTATCTCATTTGATCTTCACAACAGTTCTGGCAGGTAGGTAATATTATTAACCCCATTTTACAGATGAGGAAACCAAGGCAGACAACAGTTAAATGAAGCCAGGTTTGAACTCAGGTCTTTCTGGCTCCAGGCCTGGAACTCCTCTCCACTGCACCACCAGCTGCCTCTAGTAAGGTCATCTCTTTGTCATGATGAGTATTTATAAAAAGACCACCATGAACATTTCATATAACATCAGATTTATTTCATTTCTTGGTTAGTATTGCTGAGCTGTTTTGGGGGTTTTTTTCCCCCCTTTTATCATTGTTATAAGGGATGACTGTCAGAGTGGAAGAAATGAAGAACTATATTAGGAAATGAAGATGATGGAAAAACTCAAAGAGAATTTTTTCTTTTAAAAAACATTAAGACCACTATGAAGATAATTGCTGATTATGAGACCAACTGCAAAGGATTTATAGGTGAGAAATTCTTCAGATAATTTAATTAAACCCTCCAAGTTACATTAACATATTCTTTTCTATTCTGACTTCAGTCCAAAGGTGAGCATAGGGAAAAACTGCAAGAAATAGGTTGGAAAACATGAGATAGGGGTAAGAAAAGAAAGGGAAAGAGCTTATATGCTGCACTGATGCTTCACAATTATATAACTTGAATACTTTAAGAGAATTATGAGGCAATAGACTTGGTGAACACCAAATAACAGCATGAAAAATGAAATGCACTATAACTTAACTGTTAGGAAACTACTGATATTACCATGGGACCCTTCTGCAGGAACATTCACCATCTGTGAACCCAGTAATATCACAACATTTTGCCCCTGACCTTCTAGCCATCTCTTCCAAGCCTCACCAGCACCTTGCTACCCTGAGGAAATCTCTGCACTGAGACCCTTATGTCCTGATGGGTGACTGTCTCTCCCCACCACATTTTCAAGGAAACCCCAGCCACCATGTTTCATTCCACTTTCTACTCTTTGGCTTTCTACTCCTTGCCAACTACCATGCCATTTTGATACCTTGGCTTGTGGAAATACATTTCCCTCCTGTTCTTCCAGCTCTAGAAACACGAACAAATCAATTTTTGCCATGGTTCTTGGATGATATGTGTCACATCCCTGTAGCCCCACTCACCTCTGGGTATTGTCTTCTCCATTAGAATTTAAGCTCCTTGAGAATGTCTTTGCTTTTGTATTCCTGTGTGCACTCTTTCTGTTAGAGACTTGTTCCCCAGGGACACATTCCCAGAATGTTTCTATACCCAATTTGTAATAGGTACTCACAGTTCAATGCAATAGTAGTAATATTTCAAATTTAATCTCCATCCATTTGAAGCAATGACTAGAAGCTGGACCTTCTTAGATCCAGACATTTGCAAGTGAATTTCAGAAGTTGGACCTCAGTTGGTCTGGTTGTTGCTTAAAGTCAACCTGTCTCCTTTGCTCTGCCAAAGTGTTTTGTAGATCAAGGCACTGAGGAGTCTTTAAGTGTTACAAAGAGTTTAACTCAAAAAGCTGCTCCAGACCAGCTCCCTTCTACATTGGATGGTCCAAGTAGATAGGCTAGGTTGTTCCTTTATCTTCACCTAGTGACTTGTTGGTCAATCCTTTTATATTAATTGATAGTTATGGTCAATCCTGAATCAGTTACATTTATTCACAATTGGTTATATCTCAGAGCAAGGGAGATTTCTACTCACAGTTGGTTAGTTGTGATGTAACCATGCTTGCACTTGAGATAAGGCCAAGCGATAAGAAATATGATGCCAAAATCGCCAGTCAAGGTCTTCACAAGCCTAGGAAAACTGGTTACCTGAGCAGGAGGTTTTTCTAAATTGACTATCTATGTAAAGTCAAACAATCAACTTATTGTTGCAAAGGTATAAATGCCAAAATAAAAGAATAAAAATGAGAAAATACAAAAAAAAAATGAAAAGATCTTTGTCTTGGCATATTTAAATCATATGTAATTGCTGAAAAAATAGGAAATGGATAAAACAACAGACATCAAGACCTACTAACACCTTTTCCTAAGGAAATTTAATGAATATAAATGAAGCCTAACAATAAGGAGATGTTGGAAACTGCCCTAGGGAGGAAAGAATTTGTCTTCTTATCAAGTGGAGAAATACATTAGCCAAGGGTGGTGGTATCACTCTAACACTGGCTTAAAATATATCTAATTTGTGAGCTCATATGGAGAAAATTATGAACAAATCTCTGTCTCTGTCTCTCTGTCTCTGTCTCTCTGTTTCTCTTTCCCTTTCTCTCTCAACAAACACATTCTGAAGAAGTGGTAGAAAAAGAAATAAGTTTAAAGGAACCTGTAAAAGATCCAATTAAACCAGATCATCCTGAGAAAATTTAAGGCTGAAACTGGAAAGCGGGCAACAAATGAAAAAAAGGAAAAGACCTGCCAACACTTTTTCTCCATGAATAACAGAGAACCTACCTCATTTGGATTCTAATACTAGAGTCCCCGATGCACTACATGAAAATATAGGAATGACATTAAATAAAACCAAAATGGAAAGAGCAACTAGACTAAGCCAAGTTTACAAAGAACAGGTCCATGAAAAAGGTGGTAAAATTTTGAAGACATTGGGAATTAGTTCTCAATATATCTGAAAGAGGAGAGGTATGAAATGTTTGGAAGGGAAAAAAAAATTGATTGTTGTTGTTTTGGTCCACACCTGTAATTTCGTCAGTGTAGGAATCTTCTGATTTGGAAATAACCTACACCTATATTGGCAGGTAATTGATCTGTAACACATATAACCTTCGAGAATTGCCTGGAATACTTTAGAGGTTAAATTCCTTGAATCTGTGGTGACAGAATGTGTCAGAGGCAAGACTTGAATCCAGATCTTCCTAACTCCAAGACTCATATTCTAACTTACAGTACATTGCCAAAAAAAGGCAATTGAACAAAGAGACAAGTAGGGAAACTATGTAATGCTTAAACAAATTAATATTACTGCTTAATATATATGCACCAAGTAGCATAGTATATAAATATTTAAAGGAAAACATAATTGAACTATAGGAAGAAATAGTAAAATTACGATAATACACAAATATAACCAAAAAAAAAAGGAAAGAAAGAAAGTAAGAACCTAAATAGAACTTTAGAAAAGTCAGAAATGATAGAACTCTGGCAATTACTAAATGGACCAGAAAGAATTTTTATATTTCCTAGCAGGGCATGGCACCTTTACAAAAATTTGCAATATATTGAGGAATAAAAACTTCACAAAGCACAAATATTAAGCATATCCTTTACTGATCGCAATACATAAAATGTATATTCATTAAAGGGATTTTGAAGAAAGCCTTAAAAATAATTGGAAACTAAAATAATTTGATCCTAAACAATGGATGAGGCAAAGTACCAATCATTGAAACCATAGAAATTTTCATCACAGAAAATGACAACAGTGACACAATATACCAGAAACTTTCAGGATACAACTAATTCATTCCTTACAGGAAAATTTATATCTCTAAACACTTGTGTCAACAATAGAAAGATAAGTGAATTACTTATGCAACTAAAAGAATTAGAAATGTCACATTAAAGAACCCAATTAAATGCAAAATTATAAAATTCTAGAAACAGGGAGAGATTAATAATTTTGGGAAAAATTGATCATTGAAACAAAAAGTTTAAAACAAGGAATAAAATAGCTAATTTCACTTTAAAAAGAGGGTAGAAAGAAATTGTAGCAAAAATAAAAAGTATTCACAACAATTA